AGCAGGGTGATGCTTGAAGACGAAGCATCATGTAAGGGCTGAGAAATTGCACACATGATTCTCTCGTGGTCATGACGACTAATTTTGGTTTTCCACTGCCCACAACCCCTTGCCTGATTGTTTAGGCGCTCACATTGGGGAACTCTGTGGTCAAGCTCAGTTCATCAGGGTTTTTAAGGCCATGGGCGGCTGAAGTTCCCCATTTTGGAGCACCCTGGGTTCAGGTCAGACAATGCCCGCCCTCCCAACTTCGTTTTCGACGAGCATCTACGAGCATTGCTTTGGACAGTGTGTGAATTGGGCATGTTGGAGTTTGATGATGCGCATCGCACAAGTAGCATTGGCTGTTCCAGAAATGCTTGTCAGCTTGGTGGATCAGAGGCTCAAGGCAAGCAGAGAGATCAGATATTTCGTTGAGGCATCGTAGAGCCATGTACTATTGCACAGCACAACAACACATCACAACACACAGCGCAACACACAGCGCAACACACTCGATCATGGCTTGCTCTCGCCGCCTCGCTCTGGTGTGTGCCCTCATATTCCTGAGAGATGCTTCTGCGCTAGACGTCGTTGTCGTCGGCGCTGGAATGGCGGGCATCAGTGCTGCCAAAAAGTTGCAAGATAATGGCCACAAGGTGGGCTTTGGACCTTCAAACATCAAGCATATTTCAAGCAAAACGGGCTTTGAACCGGTGAGCTCGACATACATCCCCATGTCAATGATGCCCAGAGAGCTTTTTAGTTGAACTTGGCCAGGTGGTCCTTTTGGAGGCCCGAGATCGTGCGGGTGGGCGCGTTTGGTCGCATCGCGAGCTGGGCTTTGCGGTTGACCTTGGTGCCAGCTGGCTGCACGGAGCCACCGCGGACAACCCTCTCACTCCCTTGGTCTCTGAGTTCAGCTGTGCCACTGTGCATGATCCGGCGGACACGAACTGCCGCTACGACAAGGTGGGTGGCGATTCACAAGTTGTTGCTGGGGGGCTCGGTGTCTGGCAGGGTGGCTATTTGTCTTAGTCAAGACCTTTCCTTGGGCTAAGGGAAGGTCTGTGTTGAATTTCGGATTGGCTTCAAAACAGGATGGCTTCAAGTACTCGGCCTCGGACCTCAGCTACTACAGCACATGGTGCTGGGAGAAAGATGGCGCCGCGGCGTCAGCTGGCAGCAGCACCTGGGACGCCGCGCTGAGAGCCATCAGGCCTGCCTTCTTCAACAGCCCGGAGGGAGAGATGTGTTTGGCGGACAGGGACTTCGATCTGGGCTCAGCCGCGGACCTGGTCAACCCCACAAAGTATTGGGAGAGCGAGGTGGGTATGTGTCAAACCAAAAAAATGGGGTTGAGTTGCACCCCCTTCCCCCCCAAAAAGAAAGAAAGAAGAGGAGCAACAAACAACAGTAGCATAAACTTAGTGGTTTTCCTTTTGTTTTTCCTTTGACACCAGGTACAGAGCACGGACGATGGCCCGCAGCTGTTGTTCATTGATGGCTACGGCGCCATCCCTGAGAACTTGACGGCCCAGTTCGTTGCCGCGGGGGGGACCATCGAAATGAACGCCACCGCCACCAAAATCGAGCCGCGGTTCGATTGGAGCTTTGCACTTGGATGGTTTTGCTGGAACATGTTGCGGCGCTTTTTTTTTCTTCTTCTTTTCTCAAACTGGCTTTTGTGGAGGGTAAATGGGAAACCCCTCCTGAATCGCCAAACCACTGGGCCCAAACCAAATCAGAGGAAGCTGATTGTTCCCGCGCAAAGAACGTCAAAGGCTTCTGGGCACCAAGGAGTACTGCCCGGGCTTCGAGAAAAGGGACTGCGTTGTAAATGTCTCCGCACTCAGCGGCGACTCCACGGTGACGTACAGCGCTGATGCCGCCGTGGTGGCGGTGCCCTTGGGTGTTTTGAAGGCAGGGTTGGGCCAATCAACGCACGAGGCCGTTTACGCCTATTCCCCCAAGGTGCCATTGCCAATCCCTCATGACTGTGGGTCAGCCCCGGTAAATGGGACCAAGGACGATTTGGCCTGCGGTCCAGTTCTTTGTAGTTAAATTTTGACCACATTTGTTGCATTCTTGCAATACCATTTTGGAGCAGCCTGGATTTGCCCGAGCCTCAGGCCGGAACGCTCACATTTACCCCAGCCCTGCCGGCGGAGTACACTGCCGCGATCTCCCGGATGCAGTTCGGCGTTGTAAACAAGGCCGGCGTGGCGGGTAGCTCGGGTTCTAGGCCCAGTTTCTGTGACACTTGCCAAGAAAATCCCCTCCAAAGGGAGTGCTAAAGCAGTGATTGGAATCAACCACTTTGGTACAATCAACCACTTTGGCAAAAGAAAGTGCGACTTTCCACCATGAACAAGGCCGTGGCCGTCTTCGAGAGCGACTTCTGGTCCACGGGGTGCAACAATGAGCTCATGGTGGCAATCAACCAGCCAAATGCCGATATCAACACCCGGGGCATGTTCCCTTACTTCATGAACACGAATCGGCAGTGGCCGGGGAAGAATCATTGCCAGACTTCAGAGATTGAAGGCTTTCTCCTTGAATTTCCATCCGTTTCCGGGGAAGCCTCCCATTTTTGTGAAAATGTTTTTTATATGGGGATGCATCCGCATCCCGTTTGTTTTTCCGTCCATTTCTGTGGATGCCTCCCATTTTTTGGGAAAATGTTTTGACCCTTGGCTGACTTCGACCCTGGTTTTCTCCCGCAGCGCAAAGAAAAAAGCTCGCTCCGAGGAACGCCCTGCTGGGCTTCGCGACCGGGCGCTACGCCATCGCCTCGGAGCAGAAGACGGACGCGGAGGTGGAGGCGGAAGCGGATAGAACAGTCTCCTTTTTTTGTCTTTCTCGTTTTTTTTTTTTTTTTTTATCCTTTTTTGTTTTCCAGTCTCCCACTTTTTGGGTTTTTCCCTTTTCATGGTGGTCGTTGGGAAACATTTTTCTAGGGCTAACTTCCATTTCCATTGTCCCTGCAGAAATGCGATCGGTTTTTGAAAAGAACGATGGCTGAAAAGAATGGGGAATCAACCCTTAGAAGAAAGGTTTTTTATTCTTCTCGGTTTTTCCCTTTCGTGTTCACACCATGGTTTGAACGGGTGCCGCCCAGGCCGATTTCATGGCGAGGCTGCGCCAGAAGTTTCCCTCGGCTCCCAAGCCGACGCACTTCCTGCGCACCCGCGGCTGGGTCAAAGAAGAAGTGCCCACCCCCATCGGCCCATCGGCCGGTTTTGCGTACAGGTACCTGGTTTGATGGGATTGTGAGTACCAAGAGTCAGGTGATATGGGCGCTCATGTAGCATCTGGCGGGAAAACGGAAGCTCTCGTTGACCCCCAGAATCCTCCATGCCAACTGGCTGCTGGTGCGATAGGTGAAAGGAAACCAGAAGGGATGGTTTATGGGGGTCATTCCACTTCTCCTTCCCTGCCTATCACCAGGAAGCGGGAATCCGCCTCGTTCTTGTCTCGCCTTTTTGTTCCGCGTTTCTCGGTTTCAAGGCTGGGGCAGCGACCCCTTTGCGCGTGGGAGCTACTTCACGCCAGGTGGGCTACAGGCTCAGGCCAGCCCGCCCCGGAAGGGGAAAGCTGGGATGTTGGCCTTAACAAATAGAGCCCGCCGCAATGAAAGCCATGTTTTCACCGGGGGGGCTGGGCGGGCGGGCGGGCGGGCGGGGGGCGGGTGTGTGTGTGTGTGACATGTGTGTGTGTGTGTGTTTCCTTTTAACCACCATTTTGTGGGGTAGTCTCTTGCTGTCACAAGATACCGGCCCCAGAATTTTGGTGTCAGGGCGACGAGCTCCGCACCTTGCAGAGAGCCATCAGCTCCTCGTTGACCCTGGCCGGCGAGCACACCGCGCCCCTCGGGGCCGCCACGGTGCACGGTGCGTATCGCTCAGGTGCGGGGCAGTCAACCGGATTGAAAGCCTGGCCGGGGGGGGGGGGTTTGTGGGGTTGGAGTCCAACTGCTGCGCCGCAGAAATTAGAATGAGGTGGTGGGGTACCAGACCACATGGCCATCGGAGCAACATGTCAGTGATTCTGCCCTTTCTCCAAACCTCCTTTTCGGGCCCCTTCAAAAATGCCACAGCTGGTTTTTCGTGAGGAAGTACCAAAAGTCCCCGGCCGCGTCTCGGTGAGGCCAGCGAGCGGCGGATGATGTCATCCAGGGCCAAATCTCAGCGTCCTTCACCCGAAGGCTTGGGTTCTGCGGACTCGCGCTGGCGCAGCTTCACTTTTTGCTGTGAGTTAGGATTTTCGGGTTCCAGAGCGAGGTTCTCTTGCTGCTCCGACCTGGTTTTGCTGCAAGACCCACAAGGTGGTATACTCATGTGATTCATGAGTGCGTCGTTTTTGTTGCTTCAAGTGCCCAGGGGCACGTGGAAGCGACCTCGGCTTGCCTGAAAGAGGGTTCGAGGCCTGACATTTTTTCTCCGGTGAGGCCAGAGGCCCACCGAGGAAACTCTCCGCGTTTCTGATCGCGGTGCGGGATGTAGACCTGCTACAAATCATCTGGGGGATGATCATATTCCATGTAGAGCCCCCAAGAGTGATTTTTCCCAGTTAGTTCGACATGTATATATATATATATGTCATCTTTTTGCATTATTTGACGCAATGGTCCGCGAAAAGAACCTTTTGATCAACCTCCCATTTGGGCACATGCCGCGGTTTGCCTTTGGAAACGAAGTGTCAAGCGGCCAGCCGAAGAAAGACTTGCGCAGCAGCATCCAGCATTGATGAAACCCATGAAACGGCCAACTGGATCTGCAAGGGACGAACAGGTTCTCGCGCTCCCGGTAAAACGAGGCGGGGGGGGGGCTGAGTGACTCCGGGCCGGTTCACCCCACTGAACCTCCGCAACCACGGTCACACCCAACACAAGGTAAACCTTAGATCTTCAATCACGGGGGAATTCCATCACCAGTTTGAGAGGATGTCATGTGGAAAGGGACCCCTCATTTAGTTGTGCTTGGGGCCGGGTTCGGGGGGGGCTGGGGGGGCTGTCCGAGGCCTGGGCGCGGCCCTGGAGGCGGCGAACCTGCGGCTTTTGGGCCTCGGGGCCTCGGGCGCCTTCGCGGCGCTGGCGCGGCGCCTGGCGCGGGCGGCGCTGGCGGAGCAGGCGCTCGCTGGCGCGGTTGGGGGGTGGGTGGGCTCAGAAGGAGCCTTGCGCATTGCGCATTGTGTGGAGACGGTGGTCATCTCTTTGTGACGTTGCGTTCTTAAAGGATAGGCTGTGAAGCAAGTTCACCCATGACTTCCCGCCAGGTGAGTCCCCAGACGCCTGGTTCGTGTCAAGGGTGGGTTCCTTTGATGCTTTAGGGGCTTATTTGGGGGGCTGTGTCAAGATAGGGAAGGCCTATCCAAACCCCCACTTATGGAATACTTATGGAATATTAGGGACCCCTGAGTTGTGGCAAGGTATGTTTCAGGCACCGTAAAAAGTCCGGCCTGTTCCAGGGTTGGCCAAACCACAAGGCTAGACAATAGGAAAGAGGTGTCCTTTTGTTTTCTTTTCCAATGTTTGCGACAACTGCAGGCGAATGGGAGTACTCCTGTTTTCAGCAGGGAATCACCTTGGCTTTTTCAGAGGGCGCCTTCCAAACCCAGGAAAGCCTGTGAGGCAAATATCATGCATTCGCAGTTGTGATGAATTGGTCTTAAGGTTCCCCCCACAGGCCCATCCAAATATATGGCTGTGAACCAATGGGATCCCATTTTGGGGTAGGTGAATTCACCACCCATTTTAGAACCTATTTTAGTGGTTGGATTGTGATGTTGATGTGATTCTGTGGATGGACAGAATCCATTTCACACCACTTGGAATCCATGGTTGAAACCATTGTTTACTGGTATTTACAGGGGAATTATTTTGGGGGGGCACCAAGTATCTATCGGTGCAACTCTATACTTGCGAAACGTCATAAGTTTGGGAGCTGTTTCAGGCTTGAAACACACACGTGTTTCCACGTGTGTTTGGGCAGTTGTCCACATCCTTTGAAGCTTGAAACACACATGTTTCCACAGGAGCATCTTGAGGCTTGAAACACACATGTGTCCACATGTATTTGGGCATTTTTCCACATGTTGTGGGAGAATTTCGAGGATTTAAACACTCATGTTTCCACATGTTTTTGGACAGTTTTCCACACATTGTGCGAGCATTTTGAGGTTTGAAACACACACATGCTACTCGTTTCCAAATGTTGCGCAAGTTTTCACACAATTTGAGCATTTTTTGAGGCTTAACACGCACATGTTTCCACATGTTCTTGGGTATTTGCCCACAAGATTTGGGAGCACTCAGGCTTAAACCGTAGATGTTTCCAAATTTATCTGGGTATTTGCCCACAAAATTCGGAAGCATCGAGGCTTAAAACGTGCGCAATTCTGCATGTGTTTGTGCAATTGTCCACAAGTTGTGGGACCATGTTGAGTGTTGAGGCTTCAAACAGGCCATGCAGCCTGCCGAACGCATGTGTTCACATGTGTGCGTGATTCTCCACAACTGTTTGGAGCATGCGTTGGCTGAAAACACGTAGTCACATATTTTTTTATATTATTATTATTATCATATGTGCCCACATGTCTTCAGGTAATTGTCCACAAGTGTTTCGCAAAGTAAAACATAAACCTAACATGAGTATTGTTTCCACATGGCTGGTGCTATGTGTGCTCGTGTTATGTGGAGCATGTTTGGTCTCAACAAAAAACATGCTTCCACATGTTTCATGTCAGTTTCCTCGCGTTTTCGGAGCATGTTTGGACTGTTTGGGCTCACCAAGCATGTTTTGCATGTGCATGCTACGTTCCACATGTTTTTGCTGCATTTGTGACTTAAAAAAGCTTTTCGCATGAGCTGCGCTATGTGTCCACATGTTGCGTGGAGCAGTCTGGTCTTGCTTCAAAAGGCGCATGCCGCATGCTGTTTCCACGTGTTCTTTTGATTTTCCACAAGCCGTCGCCTGCCTGTGAAGCATAGGTAGGTTGACGCAACATCCGTATTATATGCGCATGCCCTGTCCTACTATACCGAACACCAGGCACAGGTTGTTGCTTGTTGCGCATGACAAGGCCTAAGGGCCAAGGCTCAGGCTAAGGTCCGAGGTCCCTAAGATCGATTCATCGTGGCGTTGACTTTCATGACTCATCATAACTCACAATTCATAGCTTATGACTCATGAATCATAACAGTTATAACTTATAGCGCATGATTCTGACTTTACCCGAGTCTGTTGATACATGTTACATGACTATGACTCATGACAGTACAGTTTACAGTACAGTGCGGTACTGTGAGTCAGCATATTGTAGCAAAGGTGGCCGGTGTGACCTGCAACTGTGTCGTCGGTATCGACGGTGTCGTCGTATCGTCGCTTGCAACTTGGGAGGAGGGGGCTTGGGCGGGGGCCGTGGGCCTTGGGGGTCCGAAAGGGTCCGAAAGGGTTTCACGGCAGTCTCGCTGTTTGGCCATTTTACATGGCGTGGGAATGATCCTTTTACTTCGTTCTGACAGGTTCATGTCAGGCTTAGGGTTTAGGCTTCGGTTTTATTAGGCCCACAATATGCCCACATGGGCTTGACCCATGGGCCCATTTGGCTCACAGGCTCACAGGCCCGCGTAGGTCTCACTTCGTTGCCACTCGAATGTGGTCACATTTCGTTGCAGTAAGAATGTGATATGAGGTCAGGTGATTTCCATTAGAGTTGGATGCGTTGCATGTTGCACGCATGTCACATGTTTTCTGAATGGATTCTGAACATGCCAAGCACAATTTCATCGATGCCGTCGATGCTTTGTTTCATTTGGTGGCCCAGACATGGCCGTCCTGTTCATGTGGGGCAAGCTTTGGTGTAGGCAATACACTACTTTTGAATCGGGAATGAGGATTTCAGAACTGCAGATGAAGATGGATTTTCAGAGATTCGGTCCTTGTTTCCATTCGATGAAGTATTGCCGGAGCTTCCTTTTGAGCTTGATTTGAGATGTCACTTATTGATTTAGTATTGCGGGCTGTGGCGTTTGAGTTTCCATTCGTCTTCGTATTGCCGGAGCTTCCTTTTGAGTTTTGCTTTGAGCTTTTATTTATTTGATTTAGTATTGAGCTTCCTTTTGAACTTGGTGTGAGCTTCCACGTAGCTGATGTAGTATTGTTGGAATTCGCTTTCCATTTGACTGGGTATTGCTGGAGCTCAAAGTTGGGCGCGGCCCAAAGACCGCAAATTAACAACATGTGGACCCACATTATCAGCATTGGCCTGGGCACTCATGTGAAGTACCTCATGTGACCTTCTCAAACCATAATAATTTTTGGAAAGTGATGAATTTTAATTTGATAAAGGGCGTCAAGTTGTTTCCACGTTTCTTTCCCGGGCTGAGTTAAGGCTACGTGGCCCATGAGCGTCAGGATGTGGCAACATGAGCATTTGATAGCACGAGCGTGTGTCATCATCCTAAATCAGCAAGTTCAGTGTTTGAACATGACATGAAGGCGGAAATCGAGGATGCCCGGAGTCAGTCGACGAAGTCAAGGCGGAGATCGCAAAGCAGAAATTTTTGGTGTGGGGTAAGGTGATCGAGATGGAGCAGACACTGCGAGGTCAAGGAGCAAGGGTTAAGCAGCTGAACCTGAAGGTGAAGGCCTGAAGGGGCGAGTGCTGCGCCTTCAGCGCACCCTGGCCCAAGCCGCCTCATCCTGACCGTCGGCTTCGCGTTTGGATGGCGACTTTTGCCGGGCAGCTGTCGGCCTCGCGTTGATGATGAGACTTCAACCAACCGCTGGTTCAACCACTGTTTGGATGGATGAGTCAGGATGAGACTTCAATCGTGAATCATTGATTGGTCGGACGTCTGACTTGCAATCATATTTTTCGGATGGAGCGCGTGTCAGGTTGGCACTTACATCCACCAATCAGATGTGACATTCAATCAATGCCTGGATGGACGATGGAGCGACTTAAAGTCGACTTGGTCCGTTTGGCTTGTGCGAGTGAAAAGTCAGTCTGATTGTGGGGGTTTGTTTGTCAGGAGCGCGCGTGGTTTTGGTTTGTCAATAGTTTTCGTCCAGGAACGGCAGAGCTGCGTTGTTCAGAGGCAATCCGTACCGTATATCTTGGTTTATTCAAGCGATTTTTCTTTGTAGTGGTTTCCTTTCCCTGGTTCCCGGTTTCCCCATATGGGCTATGGATTTGGATTGGCCAACCCTCCATTTTGAACAGCCCTGCAGAGCCTAGTTCTGGGTCAACGTATGTTGCCTTGAGTTAGCATTTCTTTTGACTCTTGGTGTCAAGACCAGAATGTATGTTGCATTTTGATTTTTGCCGGGGTTCTTAGGATGTCCTAGAGTCCAATGGGACGCGTCTCGTTTGATATTCTTTGTGGCTTTGTGGCCTCTCGTGTGCCCGACGATTGTGTGGAGAATCTGAACGAGGGATGTTGACAGGTTGATGGGCAAATTTGAGGCAAATTGGTTCCTTGACTCCTTGTTTCAGGAGAACGCAAAGGTCCAAACTGAAAAATAGACCTGCCAGCAACAGTAAAGATACGTCCTGTCTGAGCGGCAGAACCTGCATCCGCGGAACTGAGGCGTACCCCACGATGCGGACTGAGCCAACACGGAGCTGCGCACGCTCGCCATTGCAACCCTTAAT